CGCCCCTTTTGCGTCCCGGGGCGGGCTCCAAAGACCCGCCAGCCTTGTCCCGGGAAGAGGCGGAGGGCTGGGGGGCATTGGGTGGCTGGTTCGAGCCGTGCCAGGTGCAGGGTCTGCTGGCTGGGTGCTGGCAGGCTTTCACATGGCACGGGCACCGTAGCCAGCCCGTGCCCCTTTAAGGGCTCCGGGGCCAGGAGGGGGGCATACAAGTTTTCCTGGTGGTGCCCAGAGTGGCCACCAGGGAAAGCTGGGAGGGCTAGCCTCCCACTAGTTCGAATTAAGGGGCTACACACCCCTTAATTCCAACTAATAAGTCCTCGTGCAATGAGGTTTGCCTAGTTCGAACTAAGCGCTCCGCTAGTTCGAATTAAGTTCGAACTAGCGGAGCCCTAGTGTAGCGCCTATGAAAGTTCATTCGAACTAACATCCGTTAGTTCGAATTAACTTTGTAGTGTAGACTTACCCTCTGAGACACCTGGCATTGGCCATTCTCAGAAAACTGGATCCTGAGCTAGATGGTCCATTGATCTGACCCAGGATGGCTCTTCTTATTGGTGAAAATAAATTCATAATGTTTCACATGAAAATGGCTGTACCACAAAATCATTGGGTATATTATCAGAGACTGGCTGAGCAGTTGGCCCTAAGCTTGCAAATAATACCTACCAGCTTCTATGTATAACAAACGATAGCCATGTAATGAGTTAATATTTATTAACTATCGAACATTGTTCTGCAGAAACTTTGCAATCTCCACCAAAGATTCTATAGAAGAAATTTTACCTGACAATAATTCTCTGTCTCAGTGAATTGTTTCTTTCATAACTTTCCCTCAGCCAACTATCAGCAGGAGTTTTCACATGAACTGCTTTCTTTCCCACTAGACACTTAACAAAAATTCTTATATTCAGAATCCCTCATCATACAAACTACAAAGCCGGTGATGTTGTCACTTGAAACTCAGATAAGGTTAAGCTGTGCTGATCAGTTTCCTGATTCTTTTTCCAAAAAGTGCTTAAACAAAATTTCACATCATTCTGAAACCACTTGTTGCCTGATGACTATTTATGTCACCAGCTCTATGGCGCTAGATGACTGGTGTCTTTGTGATCCAAAGGGCTGGAATCTCTACAGGTATTTTCTTTCTTCATTTTTTAATCTGTTTGAATGTGATGGGACTGATCAGTAAAAAAAAATGTAACATTAAAAAAAAGAACCGAAAGTCTCAGCCACTGAGAAATAAGAGCATCTATAACATACATCTTTTGGATTCCCTATTCAGATTTATTTCTTATGAGAGAAATAGATGATGGATGTTCTCTAGGTGTAAAACAGTTTATCTGTCAAGCAGTGGTCACATATTTAACCAGCTTAATAGATCCTTCACACCTTTACTCTGATGGTGTCTGGATTAACTTCAGTGAAAAGTTACTCTTGATTTATACCACATATGCCCTGATTTTCCACTGGCCTATATCTTCAGAACCTCTCTGCTCACTTATATCTGCAATAGATTAATGCCCATTTTGGACTCATGGAGACATATCCTTTGATCTGGATTCAGCACAAGACTTCATGAACTATGTGACAGTGATCCTGATCTTGTTTGTGGTTGTGGATCCCAACATATCCTAGAATGGCCTGATGGATGCTCCAGGTTATGCCTGGATGCTTACTGCCCCAAAATGTTATTCTGGGACCTTGAAAACATCAGAGCACAGAGATAAATTAGATGCCGCCACCCCAGTGCCTGAGATCAAGAAGAGGGTGATGGTAGAATGACTGTATGCAATCTGAGGATTACCCCAGAGGACTAGACACGCAATCTGAGGATTACCCCAGAGGACTATGATCAACATTATGATCACATTACAATGCAGAAGAAGCAGAAAGCCACCAAAGCAAGAAAGGCCCAAGTTCTTCTTTATGTTGCACAGAAGCAAACTAGGGAAGAATAAGGTCCATAATAAGCATCTTGCATGTTTTCATAACAGAAACATGAACCAAGACCTTCATTGTGTATTGGCAGCATATTTAAAAAGCATCTCCCTTTAGCCAAAATAGCATAAACTGGCCTAAATTGCCTCAGTTTTTGTACCTTGCTGGGGAGCATGTGTTATAAGTTTCTTTTTATGTCCCAATACACTCCCCACTCTCAATATAGAGCTTAAGTTGTAGTAACTTACATAAGAACACAAGAATGGCCATACTGGGTCAGACCAAAGGTCCATCTAGCCCAGTAGCCCGTCTGCCGACAGTGACCAGCACCAGGTGCCCCGGAGGGGGTGGACCGAAGACAATGATCAAGCAAACAGAGGCCATTCCTACCCCCTGGCTAATAGCCTTTTATGGACCTAACCTCCATGAATTTATCTAGCTTCTCTTTAAACTCTGTTATAGTTCTAGCCTTCACAGCCTCCTGTGGCAAGGAGTTCCACAGGTTGACTACATGCTGTGTGAAGAAGAACTTCTGCTTATTAGTTTTAAACCTGCTACCCATTCATTTCATTTGGTGTCCTCTAGTCCTTATATTATGGGAATTAATGAATAACTTTTCTTTATTCACCCTCTCCACACCACTCATGATCAGTTTCAAATAGAAAGTGAAGAAGAATACTATAAATAAATAGAGTTATGGAGGGAAACAGAGCACAGAGGATCTGATTTTGATCTCATTCAAAGTTACTTAGGGGAAAATCCAGAGGACTGTAAGTTTTGAGGTTAAATGACTGTCGTTGGACAGCGCCAGCACATTAGGGGAACTATCAGAATACAAATAGCAAATAATAATAAAGTCTGCAATTTACATAAATTTCAGAGGAATCAGCAGAGTTGCCACTCATTTAAACTAGTTATGTGTGATCATAATCGGACTCAGAATGTAATTACCCAAGTTGGAATTTGGCCAGGACACAAAGTTTAACCTGTTTTACTCTCAGAGCAGGTAGCCAGCACTTCAGTTTCTAATCTCAGAAATTTTGTACCTGTTACTGTCGGCAAGTACACCCTAAACTTTATGCAGCTTTTCCAAACACCACAGGAAGAACACAAAATAAGAAGCCCTTACCAAAAGCACTGAAATTGGTTACCAAACACTATTACCAATATGTTATGTATGCTATGTCCTTATAGCAAACACAGAGAGAGAAGAGCCCACCACACCCAGAAGCATCCAAGAAAATCAGATACCAACATCTAGTTTCCAGAGTAAGCTTATCTTTTCTATTTTTCCCCCTCATCCAGGGCCGGATCCAATATCCATTAAAATCAGTAGGAGGCTTTTGACTAACATTAATGGTTCCTGGATCAAGGTCTAGTTCTTCCTTTCTCTAGACCAGAAATATGAGTCTTTCTTGCTAATCCACCTAAAAAAATCTATTTTAATGCCTTTAAAATTTAAAAATAAAAGAAAATCATTGCTACAGTCTAATTTTTTAAATTTTACACTGCAGTTGGTTTTGGATTTTTTTTTCCATACCGAATACATTTTTCTGACTCCAGTAACAGAAAATAGAAAGATATAAGATGTAATTAGAAAGCACGAAGCCTTACCTGTCCACAAGGAGCATTTTGTAGAGACACTGTAAACTTGCCAGATCTGTGGCTTTTTGCCAGAATATATTGGCATGGAGCTTGGAAAGTGTATTTGCGTCCATCAAATGTCATGAAGTTAATGTCTCCTGAGACAGAGCATTCAGCTGATATTTAGAAAAAAAAAAAGATAAAGTCCTTTATTACATAGCAAAAGTGTATCTTGTAAATACTCTACAACTTTTGTTATTGCTGTAAGATTCAAATGCTCTGGTATGGATCGAACAACTTTAATGACTGATTAACAATGTAATTTATGTACTGTACTCAAGTATTAGTAAGCTTCAGAGGGGTAGCCGAGCTAGTCTATAATCAGAAAAACTTAAAAAACAATTAATAGTCTTGCAGCACCATAAAGACTAAGGGTATGTCTACACTACCCCCCTAGTTCGAACTAGGGGGGGTAATGTAGTCATACGGAGTTGCAAATGAAGCCCGGGATTTGACTTTCCCGGGCTTCATTTGCATAAAGTTGTAGTAAGCTTCAGAGGGGTAGCCGAGCTAGTCTATAATCAGAAAAACTTAAAAAACAATTAATAGTCTTGCAGCACCATAAAGACTAAGGGTATGTCTACACTACCCCCCTAGTTCGAACTAGGGGGGGTAATGTAGTCATACGGAGTTGCAAATGAAGCCCGGGATTTGACTTTCCCGGGCTTCATTTGCATAAAGTTGCCCGGCGCCATTTTTAAATGCCGGCTAGTGGAACGAGGTGTACAGCTAGTTCGGATTAGGAAGCCTAATCCGAACTAGCTAGTTCGTGCCGCGGCACGGGGTTCGAACTGCTGGCATTTAAAAGTGGCGCCGGCCGGCTTCATGCAAATGAAGCCCGGGAAATTCAAATCCTGGGCTTCATTTGCAAGTGCGGTATGCCTACATTATCCTGCTGGTTCGAATTAGGAGGGTAGTGTAGACATACCCTAACAAAACATGTAGATGGTATCATGAGCTTTTTTGGGCACAACCCACTTCTTCAGATCAAGTGTTAGTGACGAGGAATGCATTAACCATCCCCCTTGTAAAAAAGCAGGTAGAATATGAACATTTGATCTTAGAAATTCTCATGGGATCTACCGCAAACTAAGACTGTGAATATTGAATGACTGCTCTACGAATTTGTCAGGCTGTTAACTGTAAGTTCAATACCAGAGTGGCGAGCATTGCAGAAAACTGTAAGACAAGTGAATAACTGGATGTGTAAAACTTGGTTTCTTGATTATTTTTATTACTTTATATATTATTCTACACAAAAAAATTGTGTTAAAGGCCCCCTGAGGTTGTAAAGTCAAGCATTCAAACATTAAACACCAGCATTAAGATAAGATTATCTGTTTCACAAATTTGGGGGTTTTTTTCTTTCATTAAAGAAAAATTAAAATCTCTGACACCAGGACAATCCCTACTGCCTTATTTCAAATTTTTGCTCCAAAGGAAGAGATTAACAATGAAACAAATATAATAATGTGCTTTATGTGGTCAAAACTATGACTTTTTATAATGGAAAGTGTTGATCAACATAAATTAAAGATGGTGGGACCAGCCCTGCCTATAATGATGCTAAACTAATGTACTGTGAAGACCATTATTTAGCTAAACTAGAGGACTGCGCCCTGTGCTCGCTATGCTCTGGACAGAATTTGGCCTTAAGTAACTATTGGCTATTATAAAATAACATTTTTGAAGCTATGAGATATCTGACCTCAGATCCTTTACACATACCTGGACAGGTAAGATTTGTGCAAGTCCACTTTCCTTCAATACAAGTACTGAAAGAAAAATCAAAAGTTGCATATTAAAAAAAAAATTCAAAGGTTGTCTATCAGTTCCACTTCCTGGTTTTCTGCTCCATGGAAACAACACCAAAGGAGGAAGTGGAGAAGAGGGTACTGCAATAGCAGCAGGTGGCCAGACTTAGATATTGTGGGCAATGGTTGTACTTGCTCATAAGTGGAGAGAGTGCTGAAAGAAGTTCCAGCTGTTTCCTTGCCCATGAAATCTAAGATTAGTTTTACTTTTCTCTCATTAGTGGTCATTATAAAAAACTAGTGATGAATGAACCTCAAAAGGTTAAGGAGCTTTAATTTGGATCAAATCACTTGAAAAAATGTAGCTGTTTATCCAGACTTTACTTGAACTTTTTGGATGTGCTTGATACAGAAGTTCAGGTCAATTCCTTTTGTTTTAATCTGAACTTGATCCCCTCTCCTTATTACTTAGGTAAAAAACATGGAACAATCCTGTTAATAAAAGGACTGTAGTTTAATTGAAACCTTTGAGTCAGTTTTGTGACCACAAGGCACAGCTAGGGGACACTCATCTACTGCACTCCAGAAGCAGCTCCATTATTATGAGCCAGATATTAACGAGCAGATATTCTGCTCCCTGTTGAAGCAGTTTAGCAGCTCCCCCACTTGCTGCCTAATAGATTGCAGAAGGAGGGGAGTACTCTGGCTGTGCCAGGGGTGAGTAGTGGGCAGCAGACCTATTGGTCAGAGACAGAGTCCACAGTCATAAGACAAGAGGTCAAGCATCAGCTCTAGGAAATTTCTAGATTCAAAGCCATGTTGACAACACTACAAAAATTAAACAAGGACATCTGCGACTATCTTAAAGTATAAAACAAGATGTCTGACAATTACCTTGAGTTTCTACAGTTTATCTAAACTTGGGTTTGAGCTAAATTTTTTCTCATAGTATTAAATTGACAAACCTCCACTGAAGCCCACAGAACTGTGCCAAGTTACATCAACAGAAAATCATACTCGATTATGTACCAAATTTCTCAGTTTATTTCATTTGTTAACATTTATCTGCTCAATTTTTCTGATCTGCCTTTTTATAAGTGGAAAGAAAAGTGCATTCACTGTCCCTTCTTAATCACACAAAATACATTATATACAAATTGACTATTTTTAGAAAGATAAGGGATTTAAGAAAGGGTTTGTTTTTGTCTCATGATCAAATTATTAAATCAAGTATGGAGTATAAAAAGGGAAGTAACTAACCAGTTATTGCACTCCTCATAAACCACTGATCCTGCTTTATAGAAACTTCCATGATAATCACAAGGGCATTCTGTAGGCTTGACACATAATTTGTTTTCATAAATTAGACCTAGAAAGAATAATTCAACATGAAATAAATGTGAATGAGCTTCATTAATGGTGACTGGCACTTTGTCTGTCTAACTATAAAACAGACATCCCTGTAGAGAAAATATTTTAGTATAATTTGAAGTTTCTTTCATCTTGAAAAACAAAATTATTAAAAATATTAGCTTCAATCCCTTGATTGTTGGTGATACACTGAAGTCACTGAGGGGTGCTGGTTAAAATTTAGTATCTTTGAAAGTCACACTGCTTATGGATCTGAGAACATAATGTCAAGCACCCACTGACATCTTGGCTTTTAGTCAGACATTTTATTCATTGGTTGCTGAATATTTTGTTCATTTAATAACTAACTTAAATTATAACTATTCTAGTACCAGAACCCATAGCACTATAGCCCACTGGAAACTAAGCAGCTAACAGAGATGATTGCACTTACATGCCATTACTGAGAATTACTGAGAAGCATCTCTTTTAAGATTCATGGAGTATCACTGTTACGTTTGATCTGTCCCCTTCCAGACAGCATTACATACTCAATAACGGGCAGTGGCAAATGGACAATAGGGACAAAATTTTGCCGTTAGATATGTGTTCAAGGCTGACTTAAGAAACAGATTCTATACCAATAGGGACACATCTTGGATCCCAGCTCTCAGCACAAGCAGAATCTCAGCTTTCATTAAAAAAGCCAATAATATGTATGGGTATGTCTACACTACCCTCCTAATTCGAACTAGGAGGGTAATGTAGGCATACCGCACTTGCAAATGAAGCCCGGGATTTGAATTTCCCGGGCTTCATTTGTATAAGCCGGGCGCCGCCATTTTTAAATCCCGGCTGGTTCGAACCCCGTATCGCGCGGCTACACGCGGCATGAACTAGGTAGTTCGGACTAGGCCCTAGGACAGGGTTCGAACCAGCCGGGATTTAAAAATGGCGGCGCCCGGCTTATACAAATGAAGCCCGGGAAATTCAAATCCCGGGCTTCATTTGCAAGTGCGGTGTGCCTACATTACCCCGCTAGTTCAAACTAGCGGGGTAGTGTAGACATACCCTATATTTCTAGCCTTTATGGTTGCAAAAGAGAGCTTGAAATTGTGACTTGAGTGTAACCAATGCCATGATGTCTGCCTAAGTGCACAGACAGCATCTAGCAGAGAGATGACCAGCAGCCACTAGAACCAGGGAGGAAGATGCCTAGCTCCAAAACCAATACAGAAGCAAACCAGTGCCTCTCATGCAGGGGTGGATCTCTGTTGCTCCTGTTGTAGAGTGGTTCCATCTGATTACTTGTTGCATTCAGTACCGGGGAGAAGAGCTCCTCCTGTTGAGGTAGCAGCCATGGTGAGTCCCCCATGCAAGTATGTGCCCAGATCCCCAGATTGCCTCCTCAGTCTGGTTCCCATTTAGTTTTTCCAAGGCTTACACACATATTGGAAGGCAAATTTTGGCCATAGGATAAAACAAGTTTGAGAAATAAGGCTGTGTTACCATCTGGACAGTAGCATCCATCGACACAGGGAAGTTCACTGTCAATACACTGTGTTTTTTGCTGACATGAAACTGGGCAACAGTCGATACATTCATTGTAGATTAAATGTTCTTCACAGGTAATAACTGAAAAATGAAACAAGCTGAGAAATGAAAAGGCATTATGCTACCACCTCAGTGGAAGATAATATGATTCATACTTTTTCATATATTTTACTTTTTAAACTATCAAATCTGATGTTCTGAATTGTGAAGGTTTATCCAAGTGCTACCTGAATAAGCAATTTTTACATTTCAAAAATCAAACAAGTATTAAACGACATCGGAGACAGCAAGTTTACAATAGATAAGATGCACAATCTTCTGAAAAATACCGGCAATATTTCTAGCAGGATGATACATTTTAAATATTTAAGGTTATTAAAGAACATATGCTTCATAATTTATGACAGTCTTTTATATGGAATCTGGCATAATGAACATTCCTTAAATGCAGATTAAATGTGCAAAAATTAGAAGTAGTGAAGTTCATATAGCACTGAAGTGCAGCCAGTTCTATGTTGCCTGTGAAAGACACATTGAACCATAATAGGAAGAAAGACATGCAGATCTATCTCATCAAAGTTCAGCTATAGGGAAATATTCAGAGTATGTGAACAACATACATACCACATTGCTGAAAGTGTGTCCGCCACATATGAAGGGGTTTTCCTGCATGAGCACAGGCCCTGGCATATTCAGTTAATGCTCGACACCAAGTTGAATTATCAGCTGCTGACCTTATACAAATAAAAAATGGGCATGACCTTAATTTCTCCCTATCATCATATAAATATGCATCCATAACTTCATAAATATTTCATTCTCTTGCATTGTTTCAACAATATATATGCTCAGGTATTTGAATTTATATTAATAAGTAATAACATTTCAAAATACTCTGTTAGTTAAACAACCTAAAGGTCTTAAATGAATAAAACATGTTACCCCACTTGGGAGAGTACTTGCCTCATTCTGATTTTAATTATACTCATATAAATCAAGAACAACGCCAGTATAATCAATAGCAATGCAAAAGTAATGAAAGTGAGAGGAGAATCAGTTCTTGATTTTTAACAAAGAGAAGAAATTCTCTCAGAAAAATTAAGATGAAGGGAACAAGAGGAAAACATTATGAGGGCCATCATGGTATAGGATGCAAATGACTGCCTTTGCCCAGCAATCTTGCATTTTAAATTATAGTCAGAACAATTCAGACAAACAATGCATCAGGTTGCCAGATGACAGACTAATCTTCAGAGAATGTAGAGGGTGTTTTTTTTTAATCATTGATTTTTTTGTTATTGGACTAACATGTTTATGGAAGTTTTTTTGTATATGCTTATTCATTCAGCAATCCTGTGCTATTAGAATACAACATACTGAATACAGCATATAATGTGCAGTAAAGTACAGACACACTTGAAGACAGATAAATTGGGTAATTTAAAACTACGTGAAAGTTATTGGATCTGAGGCATTTCTCATTTAAACCAGAGTAACAGACTAATTCCACTGACGTCTGCGATAGTACATGGGTATAAAAGCAGGCCCATTTTATTTCATCACAAAAACTGTTAAATACAAAGAGTTATGCAGAAAGAGGCATTCACTGAAGGGTCACAAACGTGTTCTGGAGAAGAAAATGTCATTACCAGCTTTTCAATTATCAAAAAATGCTTACTTACATGCAGAGGTCATTGGTGCAGCTGGCCATGTAAGGAAAAGGACTCACATAATCATGACACTGTTCAAATGGGGGCCACCGTAGTGTGTTACACAGAGCATATGCCTTCTAAAAAGAAAGATTGCTGAAGTGAAAGGAATATTCTTAAAAACATAATCAGCATAGCACCCAGTGCAAAAGCAAAACATGTGGAGCATTCAGGCTAGGAAACAGTTTCTTCTCAGCAACTGAAAATGGTTTGTAGCACATTGCTCCCCATCAGGGCTAGCAAGAGAGGGAGAAAAAGGGAGGGGGATTGTACCAGGGCCTTAGCTCAGATCTCCTCCTCACACCACCCAAAGAACCCCACCTTAAACTCAGGATGAAGAAAGGGGGAAGCCAACATGATGTACCAGGGCCCCAAATTTCTCTCTATAAGGCTGCTCTCCAGCCTAAGTTTATCACAATATTGACTCCTCAGTGCTATCTGTTATTGTCTGTATAATCACAGGACATGAACCATGACGAGAACCTTTGACTCTGTGTTAGAGCTGATTCTGAATGCATTCAAACTCCGGTCATATGAAGAAGTGGGCTGTGCCCACAAAAACTCATGCTACCGTCTAAATGTTTTGTTAGTCTATAAAGTGCTACCGGACTTTTTTTTTTCTGTACAAACTAACTCAGCTACCCCCTGAAACTTCAAAGTTTAAGTCAGTGAGTTTAAAAGGGCCAGCAAACCTCTCTCAAATATTCCTTCAGGCTTTACAGTACACAGTACTCTTTGGTCAATACAGCCTGGTTCTGTCAGACTAGTGAGCAAGTTCCGGCATATCCTTGCTGAAGACACCCAGCCTACAGGTTAATTCAAATACACAATACAATGCATCACAATAAAAATGTAACCTCTCAAGTCATGTCACTGGCTTCTGGTGCAGAATATTTCATCTTGGAGGGCTTCCCCATAACACATCATTTAGAGGGGGAAATACTGGAATTTGGGTAGGTAAAGAGATGACAGCTAAGCCCTTATTGTTGCCATCTATGATGCACTTTCATTTTTGTTTTCTTAAGGGTTATTTCTTGCAGTTCTTTTTCAGAAAAAAATAATTTTACTAAAGGAGTCCAGGATTGGCCCTTTGGTGTGCTGCGGTTCACTTGTATAACTGAAAAAATATTGCTCAAGAATGTCACAGAGCTTTTCTTCCTTGGTTACAGAGATGAAATTTTGGTCCCCTGTGGTGAGAGAAATGCTGAAATCTCTTTAAGTAATTGTTTTGGCACCAGATCTAGAAGAATCTGCTGGCCTTCTTGCCAGGGTGCAGGTTCTGTTATGAGAAGACAGCAGAAAGTGCCAGAAGATTAAGGACTACCGGTAAATTAGAAACATAAAGAGAAGGCAGATGATAAAAGCACATTAAAGATCCACTCCATTTAGCAGCCGAACCCCTTTCAAATTATGCAGAGTCAGTGTCTTTGGGGCAATGTCCAGTCAAAAATATGCACCTTGGAACTAGATGACACCAACTAAAGAACATCAACATAAAGTTCATCCCTGGTACTAAAGCTTATTGACTAAATCCTGCACTCTCAGTACTAAGGGAAAAGAGATGGTAGAACAAGCCATGCTCCCCCAACCCAGCACTGTTACCGCCTTGCACAGAAGTAAGAAGGTAGAATCAGGTAGCAAAGTAGGCTGCAGTGAGCAGTGAATAGGGAGAGTGAGGAGTCCTGTTCCACACCACAACATTCCTTCAGCAAAGGGCACATGAGGCAGCAGCTCTACTCTCCCTTAGTGGACAAGACTGTACAGGAATGACGGACATTCTCCTCATTAATTTTGATTCAAACCTGTAAAGCGTCTTGGCTTTGGGTCAAGCAGGGCGGCTCATAGTTAAGAGAATTATCCCAGTCAGGAGAGCCCAGTGGACGATTTTCCCTCCAGCTCTCTACAAACTCTGCAATGTCTTCAGTCAATTTTCCTAAGAAATATACACAAATATTAAAGCATCAGTTTGATACAGAACAATAATTGGTACATTTGCATAGCCTGTTCCGCCCCAACCTCAGATCTTAACAACCATGTCAACAGTGTGACTCTCTTTAAGAGTTGGGTCAGCCCCTCTTGTGACTATCTAGTGGCCTCCCACCTAAGGCTGCAAGGTAAGATGATAGCCTGAAGGTCCTTCTAATGACCAGCAAGACCTCAGCTAGTTAGGAGGTCTTTTTGTAGGTCCTGGAGCTCAGGAAATAGCCCCGCTAGCTGGTGTCTCTCAGGCAAATGACCTGAAAAGTGAGCTGCAGGAATCAGGAAGCCTTCTACAGAAGACCATGGATTAAGAGAAAGAACCAAGTGGCATGGAACATATAGAACTCCCAGGAAGGTGATCTGGAGACTGAGAATAACAAGGAGTCCCTGGGTCCAGGTAAGGAGTTAGAATGTCAAAGGCAGGCGAGTGGGAAAGCCTGCAGGAACTACTTCCCATGTTCAGCGGAGGAAATATTTTATATGGGTATTTTGCCTATACTTTTGCTTTAACCAATAAATTGTGTCACGAGGCAAGGGCTGAAACTGATTCTGACTCAGCATTCATTCTTCCTCTAGCTGGATGATGGTAATTTAAAGAGCCAGCTGGGAGAAGGCAGCTGCAGGCTACACTCTGCAATAAGGCACTAAACTTGAAAGCCCACTTTACAGGCATGGAAATAGTATCTTCGTTTTTATTTTTGGAGATAATGGGACACAAAGAGCTTAAGGGCAATAATTTCAAAAATGACTAATGATTTAGAGTTCTCAACTTGATAATAATTTCAAAAATGACTAATGATTTAAACTTGACACACTTCAAACTGACTTGATTTTCCAAAAGTAATATACACCCACGGCAGAGAATGTAGACCTTAGAGGGTGTCTCATATCGTGTACTGAGGGTCTGAAATCACTAGTGAAAAATCTTGGTTTAAATTAAATGCCATACTATTTGAATTGGTGGTGTTTTCCTTTCATTATGTGTGGAAGTTTAATTATATATTGACTTACACCCCTCCTCATAAATAGTAGTAGTGCTTCAGGCTGCCAGAGACTCCTGTGTAAACTTACACAGAAGCGTACACAGGAGGAAAAACTATCAAAACTAAAAACCTACCTACTTTTTAGATTCCTACACCCCCAAGTATGAATAGAGCTCTAGCTGGGTGCTCCATCTAAATGTTTGGTTTATTTTGAAAAGGCCCCTAATCCTGGAGACCATATTCAACCCAAATCTCTTTACAGATAACACATGACAGAAGTACTACAATATCTTATTTTTATTTCAAACACAGGTCTACTTTTAAAGACAATTAAGATTACCATCACAACTACATTGAAAGAAATTACTTTTTGAAAAGTAAGGTGAACTGTAGCAAACTTATATTACACCACAGCACATAAATATAAATACTCACCATAACTCGTCTCAAGATCATCCTGCAGTACAGCATTGTTGTTTCCGCATAACCCACGTGTTTTGTCCAAATAGTCTGGCGTCAATTTAATATAGACTGCAGATGTACCATCCCAAGCCAGAGTGAAGGCATACTGGTGTCTAACTAGGATGTACTCAGCTAGTTTTTGGATATGTACATTCCCTATAGCACGGGGTAATTGTATTCTGTGTGGCAAGTATAGTAAAAGACAAAAGAGCAAAGAATTTTTATATTTAAAATGAAAAAAAAATCTCCATGTAAAGGAATTATTACTCAGTGATTTAATGTCTTCCTTATATATTTGAGAGAAACTGTGCTTTGAGTAACTCTGATGTAAATCTGGAGTAATTCAACAGAAAGCAGGGGAGTAATATCAGATTTGCATCCAGCTCCAATCATGAATACAGAAATGTTAGCCTCTAATACCTCACGACAGTTTAAATGTCATTCTCCTAGTGCACGATTTTGTAAAATGCAAAAATGTTGCCATCAATATGCATGATATATTTGCCTTTTAGCTGCCAATAAATGGTGCTGTGTATATCCACACAGATGTAAACAATGTCATGAGAACTGATTCACTATAAAAACAAAACATTCTACAATAAACATGAATATAATTACCCAAGTCCTTTGTAGGTGACCTCACTGCTCAACTTTATTTCTTCATCTCCAGAAAAGAATAGGCTAATCGACCTTTCACAGGAATAGGGTGAAGATTTGCATTCTGGATCATTGTTAACCTGCCAAATAATATTATTGAGAAGTTATACTTTTAATAACATTATCCACATTCCCTATGCTACCCAACTAATATGTTATGCTCCAATCATAAGTTTTAGCAATGATCTCAAAGGATAGTTTGGTCTCCATGTCTTCAGTCCTGAGTTTCCCCAAGACTGCCACAAAACATGATAGACAGCACTGCAGTTACACTACTGTAGCATTGTATAGCCTATGGAAAGAGTTTTTCCCCATTACTGTAGTAAATCCACACCCTTCTTGTCTTTGTGGACATGTGATTGAGATGTAAGTGCCTCTGTCATTAACTACTGCACAATAGACTTAGTTACTTTCAGATCTCCTTGAACAGCAGAAGATGTGCATGGCATGAGCAGGTGCCGCCATTAGATTGTTTTACGCCGTGTTCGGAAGCACATGGCGCGTCATCCATAGCTTCACCTAGGACGCAACTGCGTTGTGTTGCCAGTAACTTCCGTCTGAGGCTCTGAGCATCAGTGTAGCTGCCGTCGTTGTGCTGAGCGTTCGTCCTGTGCTACATGTGCTGTTTTACAGGTGTGGTGTAGTTTTTTTATAATGGCAACGACAGAAAGAAATGTCAAACGCAAGTATTCAGAGAACTACATCAAATTCGGCTTCACTTGTCAAGAAAAAGAAGGCGTGGATTTGCCTCAATGTGTTATTTGTTTCAAAGTCTTGGGGAATGACTCAATGAAGTCGGCTAAGCTGAAACTCTATCTCGAAAAGTGTCACCCCAAATTGTTGCAAAAGGATGAAGATTATTGTGAGTGGCAGTTATCAGGTCTGAAACAGCAGTGCCTCAACTCAATAAGTGCATTCTACAATAAGACAAGCAATGCAGTGCATGCTTCCTACATTATTGCATACAAAGTTGTACAGGCCAAGAATCCTCATACCATTGCATACCCTGTGCAAATGAGATGGTGCGGCTTGTTCTTGGCGAGGAAGCAGCAAGGAAGCTGAATGATAAATCTGTCTCTAACGACAAGGTATCGAGATGGATAAATGAGATATCACAGAACATCAGTGAACAAGTTGTGGATCAAATAAAGAAGTCTCCATTGTTTGCCATACAATTGGATGAATTGACCAATGTCATATTGTGCTCTCATATTGGTGTTCGCACGATATGTGGTTGAGGGAGACTTCAAAGACGAGTTTCTTTTTTGTAAGACTTTTGATACCACCAAAAAGGCTCAGGATGTGATGGAAATTGTTAACAATTTCTTTGAAGTACATGGTCTGGATTGGGTAAATCTTGTGGCTGTCACCATGTTGGGCTCAAGATCGGGCTTCCAAATGCTGGTGAAACTGCACGCTTCAATGGTAACCGGAGTTCATTGCTTCATTCATGGGGAAGCTTTGACATCAAAAACATTGTCTAATCAACTGAATACTGTTTTCAAAGGGTCAGTGAAAGTGGTGAATCACATCAAATCATTGGCTCTGAACACCAGGCTCTTTCAAAAGATTTTGCCTAGACATGGGTTCCGACTTTGATGTGTTGCTGTTCTACACTTCTGCATGGTGGTTGTCAGCAGGGAACGTACTCAGAGTTTTTCAGTTGAGAGAGGAGTTGGGTTTATTTCTCCAGGCTCAAGGGAAAG